TTGTTGGCCGGCGTCCCTGACGACACATTGGGGTCACGTCCGCGTGACCCCCCCGTCATGTCCCTGTCTCGGCACTTCAAGTGCCATCCGCTCTTGCTACTAGTGTCCATGAGCATATCGCGTAATGCCAAGTACCCACCTGAACCCCATACCATGGTTGATCATTGAAATTTCTCTATGGCATTGCTTGCCCTCCCCTCCAGGTGTGTGGCCCACGTCCTGAACCTCGCAATGCAGTACGCACTCAAGGTCGAGCCGGTGGCCGAGGCGCTCCGGAGGTTGCGAGCTGTGGCTAGCTACATCGGGTGGTCGTTGCAGCGGTCGGAGCGCTTTTTTGACATCCAGAAGCAGTATGCTACGACCCTTGCGGCGACCCGGGCAGGGGAGGGGGCGGAAGAGGGGGGAGAGAGGCAGGCAGAGGGGGGCACTGCAGAGGGGGGGGCGACGCAGGCAGAGGGGGGTAGCAGTGCGCGCAAGAGACCTACTGACTTGCGCCTGATCGTTGACTCGGACACGCGCTGGGGTTCCACGCTGGAGATGGTGGTGAGGGGGTGTGAGCTGTCCATTCCTCTCACGATGTACTTCGATGAGTCCTCTATCGTAAGTATGGGATTATCATCACGTCACCATGTACTGTGCACATGTCAAGTCCAATTCATATCTCTATACCACTTCGAGGTGTATGTTCTTATATCGAATGGTTGGGCCACGCTGCCTTGTGGGCTCTCAAGTCTTCCCAATCCGATCCCGTCACCATGTACTTCCCCAATGTCACCTCCATTTCATCTCTTCACCACTTTGGATTGCATGTTCTTATATCGAATGGTTGTGGCATCTATTCCATGTGGCCTCTCAACTCTTCCCAACCCCATCCCATCACCATGTACTTCCCCAATGTCATCTCCATTTCATCTTTTTACCACTTTGGATTGTATGTTCTTATATCGAATGGTTGTGGCATCCATGCCATGTGGCCTCTCAACTCTTCCCAACCCCATCCCATCACCATGTACTTCCCCAATGTCATCTCCACTCCAACCAAATCACTCTCCATCCCTTCCCTCTCTCCCCCTCTTAGCCAAACATCACGAAGGCCACACGCACGGCATGGGCAGAGATCAGGCTGTCAGATGCCCACTGACAGCTCTCAACAAGGTGCGGGCTTTCCTTGAGCCGTTTGACACCATCACCCTGTTTGTGGAGGGGTCTTTGTACCCCACCATGGGAGCGGTCGTGCCGCAGTATAACATGCTCCTGGATATTCTCGAGGGGAACAAATATTCGCCAGACGTCTCGCAGCTGTGCAAGGACCTCTCGGGCTGGGCCTTGAGCAAGCTGGAGCGCCACATGGGCCGGGTGAGCGAGGAGTGTGCGATTGCCACCTTCCTCGATCCTCGGCTCAAGACGGCAACCTTCAGGCTCAGGGCCCGAGGGGCGAGGACTAGTGCGCCCATTGTGGTAGAGGCGGGGGGGCATGCCAGGGGTGCCAGGACACTCGACCTGAGTGAGGAGAGGGTGAAGGCGCTCGTACGCGAGCGCCTTCCAACCTACCAGATAGCTGCCCGTGCAGCGGCAGAGGCACGCTCTGGGAGGGAGGTTACGAGCGCTAGGGGAGTGACGGGGGAGGGCGCAGCGAGGAGCGGGGCTGCAGAGCGCAGGGGGGCCAAGTCGCGTGGCGTGCTGGACTTTCAGGCTAGGGTGTTCGCAGAGTTGGCAGAGATGGAGGCAGAGGAGGGGGTGCGGGCACAGGACGAGGTGGTCCAGTATTTAGCTGGGGCGAGGCAGGAGGGTGGGTGCGCCTTAGCGTACTTGCGAGGGAGGGAGCTGCAGCTGCCCGGGCTTAGGGCCATGGCTCGCGATTATTTGGGTATCCCCGCTTCCACTCTTCCAGAACGTGCAAAAGAGGTCCTACTTTCCTGTCGCTTCCATTTTTCCAAAATTTCCACGCTCCGGGGCTCTGATCGGATGGCGAAACGCAGCGTTGTCGCTGCGCTGGTTACCATCGTGTTCGCGGCGATGGTCGGGTTACCATCCCGCGGCGTCTTGGCGGGCCTCATCTTCGGCTCGCGTGTCGGTTTGCTCGCTTGCTCGCTCGCTCGTCGCACTTTCGCGTGGCTATAGAGGTGCCTTTTGAGTCGAATTGAATCCACCGCGCTGCCTGGTGAATTCACACCCCATCCTCGAAGCATTCTCCCCCCCCGCTCGACCCACGTTGGTGCGCTCGCTCGCACTCTCGCCGATACGCTCGCCGCTTGCTCGCGCGTCGGTACACTCGCATGACGTTTCGAGAAATTTCTCAAAAACCGTACGATCGCTCGCACTCTCGGCGCTGTCTTGTGGATTCACAGCCCATCATCGACCTGTTTGTCCCTATTGAGCCTATCACCATCCCATTCCTCTTCGAATTCCCCGCCTTTCCATGCTAGCACTCCCCTCTTCACCCTCCTTGACTTGAGCTCCCCTGCCCACTCCCCTGCCCGCTCCCCTGCCCCTATCTGCCCGCTCCCCTGCCCCTATCTGCCCGCTCCCCTTGGCCTCACTGCAGGCCAGAAGACCTTCCTTGCACACAGCAAGCAGCGCAAACTCCCATTCGGCCTCCCCCAAGTCACACCCATACTTCTACCACCTCCTCTGCTTTACCTGTCTGCCCGCTCCTTTCGCCTCACTGCAGGCCAGCTGGCCTTCCCAATCCAGCAGATACCAAGCAGCCCAAACTCTCCGTCGTCTTCTTATGGCCGCCCCCCTCCCTGCCCTCCTCCCCTCCCTCCAGTCCCTTCGCCTCTCCCTCCACTTCACACGCCACGCCTGCCGCCCTGCCAGTTGACCCGAGTGAGGGATGGGATGGGGAGGGAGTGTGTGTGATGATGCATGGAAAATTACATGACCCTCCCGGCAGTCAGCAAGCAGCACAAAGTCTCTGCGGTCTTTCATCCTCCCCCCTCCACTCTTTCCTCCTCCTCCACTCTTTTCCCCTCCCTCCACCTCCCCCTCCGCCTCTCCCTCCCCCTCACACGCCACGCCTGCCTCCCTCCCAGTCGATGCGAGTGAGGGATGCGATGGGAAAGGACGGGATCGATTAGCTTTGCATGGCATGGCATGGCATGGCATGGGATGGGATGGGATGGGATGGGATGGGATGGGATGGGATGGGAGGGGATGGGATGGGATGGGATGGGATGGGATGGGATGGGATGGGATGGGATGGGATGGGATGGGATGGCATTGGATGCGATGGGATGGGATGGGAGGAACAGAGAGGGCTGGGAGGAACAGAGTGGGCTGGGAGGAACAAAGAGGGCTGGGAGGAACAGAGAGGGCTGGGAGGAACAGAGAGGGCTGGGAGGAACAGAGAGGGCTGGGAGGAACAAAGAGGGCTGGGAGGAACAGAGAGGGCTGGGAGGAGCAGCGCCCACTAGCAGATCGCTCGCTTGCACACTCACCTCATCTTTCCATCCATGCTGCATGTCTCCTCCCCTGAATAAAACCCCACCATTTGCAACTGCCTAGCCTACATGGTGCAGACCCCCGTATCTCAGGTACTAACCCATCCATTTCCAGCCTACCCTGTAACCTTCAAGACTTATGAAATTCGTTCGCCTCAGGGTCTGTACCATGTGCCTAGAGCCGCTCCAGTGGCCCTCTGCTGCTGTCGCCTGCCACCGCACCCCACCTATGCACATTGCTCACACCTACGCCCTAAGTTGGCGTTTGCGCTCAACCCCTTCAGCATATAGCGCATGTACGCTAGAGTTTGCAAGCTGTACGCTAAACGCTTCGTATACGCTATACACAATCAATTTTTTTTGGGGGGGGCTGCCTGAAAAGAAATCGCAAAATATACGTGGATTTTTCTGGCGAGCAGATCGCCAAAGTCAAAACGGAAATCCGCGGTCTAGGCAAGCGGGGGGATGACTTCGAAGATTTCAGGCACATCTGACGAATCGAGTGTTGAATCTCAGATCAACACACTAATTGAAACCTACGCCATCTACAAACTCCATCCTGTCAGAATAAACCCCCCAACAAACCTCTCACGCTACTTACTAGCCAGCGTAGCTGCTGAATTTGTCATTTCCCACGATTCATTTCCGCTGCCAGCAGAGTTCCTGCCCGATCCTACTTCTCCCTTTAGCTGAAATGTCTACCCCACCTCCCACACCACTCGCCGTTCAGAGTGAGGAGAATGCTGCTTGGGCATGTAATTTTTTGTCTCACCCGGCCCAAGAAGTTTTTTTTCCTGCCCGAAAAAGCGCATGTCGAATGTGAGCCATGAGCGTATAGAGTATTTACGCCAGCGTGTATACGATACGCAAATATACGCTGAATGAGTATATGCCAACATAGCTTCAGCCCTACCACTTACTCACTGCTTCACAGATTGCTCCTTGCAGGTGGAGGGGAAGGGCGTTAAGGTCAACACCGCGACTGTCCTGCACCTTGTGGCCGTGCAGTCACCAGTGGTGAGTGGGGAGGGGGGCAGCACTTCACTCGACTGTGAAGAAAGAGTATTGGGATTGGTCCGCCTGAACAAGGTGAGCTTCTCCTCCCTGCCAAAGGTGGTTTCGTGACTGCTGTTTTGTTCGCTCATGCTGTTGCTTGGTCTTCTCCCCATGCTTACTTCCCTTTCCTGCTCCCTCCCTTCCTCCACATTCTGTGTGCTCATCTTCCCACTCTCACTCCTGTCTTTTTTTCCCTGCCCCCCTCCCTCTCCCCTCCCTCTTAGCGTTCTGCCAGCGTCTAGTGCATTGAAGGCTGTAGCAGGGTGGCGAAGGGGCAGCAGGAGGGCAGCAGGAGGGCATCAGGAGGGCAGCAGGAGGGCAGCAGGAGGGCAGCAGGAGGGCGGACAGAGGGAGGGCAGGCATCATGAGGTAGAGCAGCAGAGGGGGATGCATGGGAGGTGTAGTTGTGGGTGAGGTGTGGTAACAGGTTTGGTCTGGTAACTTGATCCCCTCCTCTCTCTCCACCCCCTCCCTGCAGTCTGAAGGTGGAGCACTGGAGCAATGGTAGGTACCCCGTCCCCTTCTCTAGCCCTTCCCTGCAGGTTCCTGATCTGGCGTTCAAAGCTTAGTGGACACCATCAGAGTCGACCGGCCGGCGGCTCTGGTTCGCGTCAGCACTAGCTACGTCAGGGTTGGGATTTGGATCTTGGGCTGGAAGCGCTTCACCACTGTCACACCTCAACCCACAAGGCACAACCTCTGGTGGTGTTGTTCGCCTAAGGAACTGGGTTGTCTGCGGCTACTACTGCTGGCAGGTAAGGGTGGGTGGTACTGGGTGAGGGGAAAGGTGATGGTGGTGAGAGGAAGGCAGGAGGGGTGCGGTGGCAGTGGTGGTGAGAGGTAAAGCAGGGGAGGAGGTTGAAGCCCCGAGGATAAGGTGAGAAAGGTGTTGGAGAAGGGTTGAAACATCCTGGATAAGGAGAAATCAAGGCGGGAAAGAGGGGTTACATCTCAGGGTAAGTAGGCGAGAGGCCAGGGGGAAGACGCTAGCTGAGACTCTCAGGTCAGGGCGAGAAAGAGGCTAGAAGGCTGCCTCTGGCTCGCGGGGGATTTTGGACGCCATTACGTCTACCTATCTGGTGTCGATGACCGAGCCCTCAAGCTGTGGTCGTTCAAGGTGATCGCAGGCGCGGGCGACAAGCCGATGATCCAAGTCGAGTACAAGGGTGAGACCAAGCAGTTTGCCGCGGAAGAGATTTCGTCCATGGTGCTGACGAAAATAAAGGAGATTGGGACTACCGTGAAGAATGCGGTGGTGACGGTTCCAGCCTATTTCAATGATTTGCAGCGCCAAGCAACGAAAGATGCGGGAGCGATCGCGGGGCTAAATGTGATGCGGATCATCAACGAGCCGACTGCAGCTGCTATCGCGTGCGGGCTCGGTAAGAAGAATAGCAGCTCATCCGAGAAGAATGTGCATATCTTTGATCTTGGTGGTGGCACTTTCGACGTCTCGCTTCTTTCGATTGAGGACAGTATCTTCGAGGTGAAGGCGACGGCTGGCGACACGCATCTGGGTGGTGAAGACTTCGACAATCGCATGGTAAACCATTTTGTCCAGGAGTTCAAGCGAAACTATAAGGACTTGAGTAACAATCCGCGGTCTCTTCGCCGACTTCGCACGACCTGCGAGCGCGCCAAGCGAACTCTCTCCTCCACCGCGCAAACGACCATCGAGATCGACTCGCTCTACGAGGGAATCGATTTCTACAGCACCATCACTCGCGCGCGCTTCGAGGAGCTCAACATGGACATGTTCCGCAAGTGCATGGATCCCGTGGAGAAGTGCCTCAAGAACGCGAAGATGTCCAAGGCGCAGATCCACGACGCGGTGCTCGTGGGCGGGTCTGCACGAATTCCCAAGGAGCGCTGCAAGAGCATCAATCCCGACGAGGCTGTCGCGTATGGCGCCGCGGTTCAGGCGGCGATTCTGAGCGGCGAGGGGAACGAGAAGGTGCATGACCTGCTGCAGCTCGACGTGACGCCGCTGTTGCTTGGATTGGAGACGGTTGGAGGTGTAATGACGGTGCTCATTCCGAGGAACTCCATGATTCCGACAAAGAAGGAGCAGGTGTTCTCGACATTCTTGGATAACCAGCAGGGTGTGCTAATTCAGGTGTACGAAGGTGAGCGCGCTTGGACCAAGGATAACAATCTGCTTGGCAAGTTCGACCTGTCATGAATCCCGCCGGCACCACGTGGTGTGCCGCAGATCACCGTGAAATTTGACATCGACGCGAACGGCATCCTAAACGTGAGTGCGGAGGACAAGTCTAGCGGGCAGAAGAACAAGATCACCATCACGAATGATAAGGGCGGATTGTGTCAGAATGTTATATTTCTCTAGTCTGCAGTGGGTTACTCTATAGTGAGTACAACCCTGTTAGGGTTTGCTATATGTATCCCATTGTTTGCTAGTGAAACCCCTCTTTTGCCTATTCTCTCTTGCCTAGCTAGCTAAACCCTAGCCATGGCTCCTTCGTTCTAGCTACTATTCTGACATGCTATCAGAGCGGTTACGCTCCTGGCCTGTGGGCCCGCCTGCTTCCGCTGCCATACAGTCTGTCGCACGCCACGGGGCGTGCGACGTTCCCATTTTCTTCCCGCCACGCACTTGGGGCGCGTGGCGGTTTCCTGCCCGCCGTACGCCCCGCGCGCGCACGGCGGTCTCGTGCTCCTTCCCGCGCGCTTCCCCCCATCGTCCGTCGCGGCGCCCCAGAGGACCCGCGCGTCGCTCCCCGTCGCCCGTCGTGGCGCCCCAGGGACCCGCGCGTCGCTCCTCGTTGCCCGTCGTGGCGCCCCAGGGACCCGCGCGGCGCCCCTCGACGTCCGTTGCGGCGCCCCAAAGGACCCGCGCGTCGCTCCCGGTCGCCCGTCGTGGCACCCCAGGGACCCGCGCGTCGCTCCCCGTCGCCCGTCGTGGCGCCCCAGGGACCCGCGCGCCGCCCCCCGTCGCTCGTCGCGGCGCCCCCAGGGACCCGCGCGTCGCCCGTCGTGATGCCCCAGGGGACCCGCGCTCCGCCCCTTGACCCGTGCGCCACAGGGCTGCTTCCTCCCCGCCCCTCCCCGTTCTCTTTCCTCTCCCTCCTGCGCCTGCAGCTTTGGGGGTGGCGGGTATGGGGGTGGCGGGTGTGTGAGCCGTCCCCTGCTCCTCCTCCTCCTCCGTCTCCCACTGCTGCAGCTGTCGCTGAGGGGGGTGGATGTGTGGGAGCCGAGGGAGTGGCGCTAGGGGGGTGACGTGGGAGTGGAGCTAGGGGTGCATAGGGGGGTGTGTGAAAGGGGGTTTGCGACAGTGGGGAAGGGTTGAGCGGAGGTAGCCGTCGTGACGTCAGCAGCGCCAGTAGTCCGAGGCTCTTGCTCCGGTAGCCCAGCGAGCCTGCTGCGCCAGTCGCCCGTGGGTCCGTTGCTCCTGCCGCTCGTCTTAGCCGCGGAGCCAGTTACTCCTATAGTTCGGGGCCCTTCCTACGGTAGCCACTGACAGACCTACTGAAAAAGGATACGCCCTTCAGATGGGATACTCCTCATCTGCAAGCCATGGAACAGCTACAGACAGCACTGACCACAGCGCCAGTACTCATCCTACCGGACCCAGAAAAGGACTACGTAGTTGAAGCGGACGCTAGTGACCAGGCAGTCGGAGCAGTACTGATGCAGGATCACGGGAACGGTTTACAGCCTATCGCTTACCTCAGTAAGAAGTTACATTGAGCAGAACTGAACTACCCCATTCACGACAAGGAAGCCTTAGCTATAGTCGTAGCCTTCAAGGCGTGGAGGTGTTACCTAGAGGGAGCCAAGACCACAGTATACACTGACCACTGCAGTCTTAAGTACCTGAAGTCGCAGCTGACGCTCTCACGACGACAGGTGCGGTGGGTGGATTTCTTGGAAACTCACTTCCACTACGACATCGTCTACAAACCCGGGCTCCACAACAAAGCTGACGCGTTGAGCCGCCCCGGTCATGTAGCAGGCATCCAGCTCGACGGGATGAACCCTCTGCTCAAGGGTCTATTCCAACATGGGTACTCCGTGGACGGCGAGATCGCAACGGCAGAGAAACAGAAGCTGTTACAGTGGGAGAAAGACTTAGCGGTAAGGAAGGGTTCAGGAAAGATTTTGTTGGTGCAACCCTACGGTTTGCACTCGGCTTGTTGTCCGTGTGCGTGCATGCGTGTGTGCATGGAATGGTATGAGTGCATGAAATAAATATATATTTCATGCTTATAATAGTGTGTGAATGATGGGTCATGATGTCGAGTGTGTGTGTCAAGTCAATAGCGAGTTATCGCTAGTCGCGTGTTACGCGGTCATTTTGTGTGTCCCGCGCAGTTTCTATTTTGTCGTGCGCGGTTTCTATTTTGTCGCTTGTCGAACGTTCGGCGTGTCGCAGGTGTGTGCAGCAGACCCATCAAGAACTCAGGGATGAGTTTGTGATGAAGAAACCGAGCCCTGGTGTCAACATTCAAGTGATCGCGAAGCTCGCCAAAAGGGTACACCTCAAGAAATTGAAGATAGTTACATTACTTTGTGTAGTGTAACATTTCACTTGGTGTAGGCCCTAGTGAAGGGTAGTTTCGAGACCCTTCGTGGTTGGGGACAGTCTGGCACTGTTCCACATCACTGTACCTCGGCTCTTGGGGTTTGTAGGAGCTGGGAGTCATTCCCAACTCGTAACTCTTCCTAACTCTTCCTATCTTGTGTTCTAAGACTATAGTGGCTGCCATAGTGCCGTTCGTTCAAAACCGACGTTGTGTCGTCAATACTTGGTGAAATCATGCGATCTAAATTGCCTATTGTAGGTGACTTCAAAACGCTCCAGATCCAAGTTGAATCAGGTCATTTGAAGCAGTGACCAGAACGCTATGAACGTTTAAAGCCGCTGTGCCGAAATCCGACTGTGCACTCTATCTTTCGTTTTAGGCACATTGAAGCCTACTGTGATTATAACAGATTTGGGTACCGAATTACGCCCCGCTACGGCAGATCCTATTAGAGGAATTTCATGACGTACCTTACGCGGGACATTTCGGGAGCAACAAGACGTTAGCGGGAAGTATTACTACTGGCCCCGGATGGCAGCAGACGAGCTAGTGCAGTGCGATTACGTAATCATAATGTAATTTACAGATGCATTATTTCCTATTGCTTAAATGGTATATAAATATATATATGTGCGTACACACTTTGTACAAAGAGGCACGAAACCAAAATACCACCATTAAGTTGTTGAAAAATCCTCCTTGTGGCAGTTCTTCACATTGACTGCAGTACGTCTTGCCTGCACCTGGCTGTCTTCACCGCTTGCTGCCCCAACAAGCTTCCTTTCCTGCATGGTGAAGGCAATGGTGGGAGTGAGATGGCGGTGGGAGTGTGGCGGCAATAGGAGCGGGTTCTCAGCATAGCAGTACCAACTGGTGGGACCCATGAATGCGACCGTCTGTTTTCCCCCAGGCCCCCCCACCCCTTGACAACCCCTCTTGCACGTGGTTTTTGGGAATTCTTAAAATCCACAAGGCATGATCTAGAGTGCTGTTTGTTTCACCAACCTCCCTGGCGCACAGAGGGGAGGGTGGCTGGGCCTTGGCTGGCGGGATGAATAATCGCTCGCGCGTGGCAGGGTGCAAAGTTTCTGTGTGTTCTCTTCTCCCCCCCCCCACCCCCCCCTCTCCCCCTTGCGTCCGGTCCATTGCACCTCACGTGATTTCTGTTATGCAGACCGTATCTGCCAGCTTCATCTCCCTTTGTCTGCTCCCGGCAGCAATGGAGAGCATGAAGGTGGCACAGCTGAGGGATATCCATCGCTACAAGCAGAGACAGATGGAGAAGATGCAGGGTAGGCCGCCACACCTGGAGCAGGGACAGGAAGTGTATGTGAGGAGGGCGAAGGAGGATGGGCTAGATGTGGGAGTGTCACAGCAGCGGTGGAAGGTGAGAGACATGCAAGAATCCGGAGTATTGGTCCTGGAAGATGAGCAGGGCAAGCGGGTCATGGATCATGTGACGAATGTGGCAGTAGCTGGGAGGAGGAAGGAGGGGCAGAACTACAACGGTCCCATGACCAGGGCGAGGACGGCGGGAGCAGCTCATGGGAGGGGGCAGGAGTAAGTCATCACCAGAGAAGATAAAGCTCAGGCACAAAAAGGGAGAGTGGATAGATCAACAGAGGATCAAATGGAGGGAACGCAGAGAAGGGAGGGAGTAAGATGGAGCATGGAACCAGAAGGTTGGGCGGGAGAAGAGGTAGGGAGAGAGCAAGGCGGGAGGGAGGGCTCATGGGGAGAGAGAGGTGAGCTACAGAAAGGGAGCGGGGAAGGGGAAGTTCCAACAGAAGTGGGAGTAGGGCTGTCCTAGAAAGGTACCAGGGGAGGTGGGTGAGTTTCCGAAAGCTGTCACATTTGTGTGAATGTGAAGGGTAAGAAGGAAGCGCACGGGGGAGTGTACATACTGTACAAATTGTATATAGCGAATCAGCGAGGTGCGGGGTTGGGAGCCGAAGGGTCAGGTGGCGTTTCTCGAGGCGAGAGGTAAGGAAAGGGGGAGTGTCGCTGGCCGAGCCAGAGGGCGGAGGGCTACACGAGAGGAAGTGGGGCGGTACTTACGTAAGCAAGAAGGTGATGGCAGTGGGAGGCAGCAAAGAACCAGGCAGCGGCAGTGGAAAGGCAACCTCACCGCCAGCAACGGATGGGTGTGCGAGTGCATGCGTGTTTGTTTTCATGTGTGTGCAGGATTGCGCCAAGGAGCCAGCTGGAACTGGATGTTGGCAGCTGGAGGCAAAGTAGCAAGGGTTGGGGGATGGGTGGCAAGAGGCAGCACGGTTGCAAGCCTGCTCATAGAGGCTCATAGCCGCTAGCGAGTAGCTTAGGAGGACGGGACAGAGCAAGGGTGGTGGAAGAGCTGGTAGAATAGGCAGGAGCCTTGGTTGTAATTCTCATTGCTTGTATGTTTCCCTTTTACATGAATTTCTTGCAGCCACGAGGCAAGTAGTGATACTAGGGAGATAGTGCAAGCAGCATGGGCTAAGATCACATTCATGGAGTAGATGTGAGGGAGCAAGGACCTCATTGGAGTAAGTCATCACCAGAGAAGATAAAGCTCAGGCACAAAAAGGGAGAGTGGATAGATCAACAAAGGATCAAATGAAGGGAACGCAGAGAAGGGAGGGAGTAAGATGGAGCATGG